GGCATGAAAGACAGAAGCTCAGCTCCCTTTCACCGAACCTAGCGGAGTTCAAAGGAATATCGTCAAACTACAGGGGAGCAACGGGTCTCTAACGAAATTCTGACACTTTCGTACGAAATGAAAGTCATCGAAGCGAAAAGCTGGTAGATAGAAAGCAGTCTCTTTCAATTTTTTCGATGCCACAATCCAAATTACATTTTTTCGAGTGGAATTTTCAGACCCTCTATACCTTATTAGCCGCTGGCCACATAGAATTTGATTAATGGGACTTGGCAAGCGGTTTTAATAAATTTTAGGTCCGCTCTCGAAGCCTTAGCAATTAAAACATAGGTATAAACGAGCGTTGCCATCTTATTTTCGACCATTGGAATCGAAATCATTAGTTTAAATGGTTTTAAAAGTGATGATGACCTTCTTATGAGAAAAGCCAGGTGAATAATTCTTCTGCGAGGCATCCATTGAAATGCATAAATATCATGTATCTTTGCATTATTTATTCTCGGAACCCTAACTTAGCCCACTATGGCTGTAATGCCAGACCATAACTCGTAAAATTTGCCCTCGAATGTTTTTGATTCCTTCTTCCAAATAGCCTTGGATGCTTAAATGTCCTATTTGTCCAGTTATTTGTGCCCCCGATCGTGCTTGATGATAGTGACCATGCCTTCTTTTATTTCTTTCTGCTGGCTTTTAAGATGCATGCTCAGAGCGAAATTAACCTGAGTAGCTGTCTTCTTTTACTGATAACACTTTCATCGCATTGTCTTCGCTTCTAGTGCAGATTAGTTTATAGGCCTATGCAAAATCTTCTGAAAAGTCGCTAATTTATTTTGATTAAGTGTGTTGCCTTCATATAATTTTCTTTCATGATAATTTAGTTCACTTGCTTGACCCGATTGAAGTGACACATTCACGAAAATCCACCTGCGTATTACATTTTGGGATTCTTACCTAAGCATGCCTTCCAAACTCATCGTGATAGGATCGAATTCAATGTGTCTAAACCAAACAAATAGTCACTAAGGTAGTTCCACTTTTATTCTCTATTGGCTTCAATCTTTAGGGTCTAAATGTCTCATATCATAAGGGTTCTTGGCAATACCCAGCTATCTACTATAAGTAATTCAATTTCTATCCTGACAAATAGTTGTTTGACCTTGTTTTCGCAACTTGGTCATATTGGCAGGAAGAGCTAGAGGAACGCACCTTGTCCAGAGTCCAGAAAATGCATAATGATTTCAAGAGTTGGACCGTGGACTTGGCACATTCCCACGGCAAATTCCCCAAAAGGTACACCTCTTGAGGAGTTGAATATAAACATGTCAGAAGTTGTGATAGGACAAGGGCGAGACAACAGGATAGGAAGTAGATAGATGGGCCAAGACAGAAAGAGGAGTAATAGTACATCCGTTTTGGCAAAAAGTTGGTCAAGGGATTGACTTCATTTGTCTCGTTGACCAGTTGTAGTTTGGTGCTGAGAATGACAAGACTCACTGACGATGCCGACTACGATTCTAGTGAAACGTCTTTTTTTTGGGAATGTACCAAGTCCACGGTCCGAAATTATCATGGATACTATAGACTCCGAACAAGGTGCGTTCCTCTAGGTCATCCTGCCAATATGACCAAATTGCAAAAGCAAGGTCAAACAACTATTATAAATTGAAAGGAGACTGCGACCAAACTAGAGGCACAACATCTTGGTCTTCATATCTACGTTTATCGCAATAGTTACCGTATTTTCCGGCGTATAAGACGACATTTCACACCATAAATCTCTGCTCCTAAGTGGGCGGACGTCTTATACGCCGATTGTAGTTTAGGGATTGCTAATTAGAATATGGTTCCGAGCTCCTGTAGTGCCCCTTATCTCCTTACAAAATCTATATTTTAACTGGAAAAGTCAGGGGTCGTCTTATACGCCCCAGTCGTCTTATACGCCGGAAAGTACGATAATCGTTTTATTTCTTTACTATTTTGCTAACTTATTTAAATTATATGGTATCCTAAGGAGAAAGTTATCCTCATATGTTTGTGGAAGGCACGAATCATGATTGCAAGCATCTGAGGTATTGAATCAACAAATTGTGTCAACCTACTACTATCATTTCAGTAATAATAGTAAATTTTATCCAAAATAGGCAGAATAGATTTATCTATCTTTGCACATTAGTTAAGAAAAACCTTGTTTCCTCTCTTGCTGAAGTTGTATAGTAATCTATATGCCTAGCATAGAATGTTACATTTCGGTTTTGATCCCTGTAGGCTTTTTGCCTGGGAGAATCTGACTTTGGAACTTCAGTCTAACTTGAAAGTAAAAAAACTTACAGTCCTCATGTAACAAGGAAAATTCCTCCTAATAGTAAGATCTTTTCATCAACTAATTTCGACTGTCTTAATCAACAAATTGATAATCTCTAAAAGACTTTTTTATGGCATTATTAAACGTTAGATTGTGACATTTTAGGAGCAGTACTCTTATTATCGTAATGAATAAACCAGGCTACAATTTAAAAGAATGGATGTTTTTCATCAAAGCTGAATGTCTGGCAACCAAATATGAGACATTATTGAGTTTTATTCCCTTTGGTTTATATGTATTAATTCTATCCTACATAAGGAATGCAAGCATTTGCTATTCTTTTCATTCTGAACCATCTATAAATTACATGTTGCCTTACATTTAGTGACCTCGCGACCCGTAATGTGCTAGTTCAAAATCACGAGTTAGTGCAGATCACGGACTTCGGACTCGCAAAGATGCTAGAACGCCGAGATGAGGATCAAGTGGTAGTCTGGTCAGGCAGAGTACCGATTCGTTGGTTAGCTATCGAGACTTTGCAGTATGGCGTCTATTCGCATCGTACGGACGTCTGGAGCTACGGTAAGCCAGAAGCCGTCATCCAGGCATACAGTTATGCACGAATATCATCTTAGGCTAAAGAGGAGACGAAAGGTGAATATAAACTTTGGTAAATTAGCGCCAGAATTTGTGGATTTAATATTAATCCAAGTGGGCAATTTGCATTTTATAAATTCTGTGGCATAATCGTAGATATGAAGACCAAGATGTTGTGGTCCTCGTTTTGGTCGCAGCCCCCTTACAAAGTATAGAAGTGGTTAGTCTGACCGCATTTTCTCCAATTGGCAGCCCTGACAACAAGACTAAGTTTCGAAAGCAAGGTCATGCCACTTCCTTGAAATAAGGCCTATCAGAACATTAATGGCTAGCATATCAACAGAAATCACCAAAGACTTGAGCTGGACAGTGTCACAACTCTTCATCCATAATTAATCAATGGAATAAATAGGGTGTAGATGGGTTCGCCAAATTTTTCCACTCTGAAAATAAGGAACCAAGGGAGATAACCGTTTCTAAGCCTCTTGTCTGTCCAATATGTGTGAAATTGCAAAGCATTTGGATGATCTATTTTCCCAAGTATTACTTCATCTATATTATAATGCAGGCCGTGGGCTGCAAGTATGCCTAAACACAAAATATGATGAATAGTATAAAAGTTACTCTTAAAAAATGCTATATATTTATTTGTTTGTTTTTCTTCTTCATTTCTGATTTGCTTTGCCCTACATATCCTTTAAAGGTAGATAGTCTGGCATTCGTACAACTAGTTTTGATTAAATGCATATGCAAATTAATTATTTGATATTTTCCCTGCCTCCCTTTGCAACTAGTCTTCCCAGTATATTTATTTATTTATAATACTAAATAGCCATATAGGTTTGCATCACCTAGTGGCGTGACATTATTCCAACCCACTGAGGTTATTCCTATCATATACCTACTTTGGCCCACAAGATGAAAGAGCTATGCTCAATTTAGTTAAATATTCGTAA